GAACATGGTCCAACCGAGCAGTTTGTGCAGACGTATGCAAACATGTATATCAAAAGCTTACATCCACACATTCATTTCGCTACAGCAGATAGGGCGATGCCCCCGTGCTCCCGGACAAAGCTGGCGCCGGGATTTAGCGATCACGCACGGTAGTCCTGCCCCACGCTGAACACACGACTGGGGCGTACCACTCCGTCCTCGCCGTTATATGAAATGGATAACAAATGCTCTCATACCGCAGTGACATTGTGCGTGTGCATCGTTATGACTCCAATCATTTATGGATGAATATTTTACAAAGGTCCAACAGACAGGGCGTCTGTGATCATCGATTCTGCCTTGGTAGCTCTTCCGAATAAAGGGTGATCCATATTTAATACCAGACTCTAATATACCGTATTCTTATGACTTAAATCCAGATTTATTTTTGGGTTGAATATATTACCTATAGATGGGATTAATTGGGATGGTTGATTGCATCTATTGATAATGCAATTAATAACCATCTGATACTTTTCATAAAAGATAATGAGCACATCAGAGATACCATCTGATGACCCTCGCCAGCGATATGACGGTTGAATTTTGGCTTGTGACGCAAACTGGTGGGTTTGTGGTCTATCAGACGTTCATACTTTACGAGGATGTAAATATAAAGCAAATAAAATATGTGGCTTGTCAATCAGCATAAAAACGTATTCCACGAAGACCATTCCCGAAGGTCTAGATCTATTGATTTTCGATAGATAAGAGATTTAATCAATTTGGTCATTTCTTGTAGATCAAAGGTTACGACAGCATAAAATGTGATAATGTCTTTATTATTCTGGTATACAGTCCCACCCATGGCCCATCAAGCAAAACAGTTTACAATTTTAAAGTCCATAATACGTTTCGAAAGTGAAATATATTAGACGATACTTCGGCATCGGAGACTCTTGTGTTTCAAATGTACCACTAGCTTCATTTCGAGCGACAAATGATACCGCTAACTTCCCTAACAATATAGGTTTTGGAATTTTATCTGCAATTTCTGTCAGAGTTCGCCAGATATGCTTCAGATGGAGCCGTCAAATAGATTGGACGTGGGAACAGTCCTTTTGGAGCATGACGCGAACAGTGCGGAAATTGGACCCTTCCCGTTCCGTATAGATGTTGCATTTCAAACACGCCAAAGTTATGTTTATTGTGACCCGTGTCGCCAAAGGTCACAGGACTTTCCACCCCAACACGGAAAAGTCATTCCGCAAATAGAGAGCGTTTCGATGGGACCCACAGCAATGATCCTGTTTGACCCGCGGGTCATCTTCCATTTGATCTCCTGAGCGGTCAGCACTGGTCAGTCCAGTCCAGCTGTCACCAGTTGTGGATCACCAGCGAACAAACGATATGGTGGTCTCACGATAACACATATGTCCTATCGCCTACAGCATGTGCTGGAACGTTATCCTGTAACAACATTCTACGCGCACAAGAAAATAAAAATTCCTCAAAATGTTATTTTTTGCTCCTCGTCAAAAAAAAACTGTGTCCCTGACGTAACTCAGCGAAGAGATATTGGCATGATCATACTCATACTGTGAAGAACATCGATGGCGCAACATGACTCTGTGTGTTTGCACCGTGGTGTTTGCAAGCAGCAGGGTTGACTACAAGAAAGGCACAAACCCTTTTGTTCTATCTGGGGTGCTTGTTGTTGGGATTTCATAGCTAGTAGAAACGACGTCCACTGCCTGAGATGCCAATGTCTCCCAAAAGAAAACAACCTTTCAGATTAGAATCTGTAAAACCCTAAATTTATATTTCAAATGTAACAAAACCTGACATTTAGTGCCATATTCCTAAGTGCTTGATATCGCTTGAAGACAAAGAGTTGGTGCAGCACGATTTAGGCCCTCTGAAAGTACGATGCGAAGCAGACAAATGTGAGAAGATTAGAATCAACGAACCGCCAGTAAGAAATTCACAAGAGGCAGTTGAAAGGAATAAAGGAAAGTGCAAAGGTGCTTCTTATGATGCATGTTGTGTAGGAGGAACAATCAAACAGAGTTGCCTAAAGTGGTTTCTTGTGGTCCTAAGGGCTGCTGAGCTCTGGAAATAATGACTTCCCGTGTGCTGAAATGCCTCCCGTACGGGCATTTTCAGCTTACAAAGCGTGCATAGCTATAGAAACCGGTCCGAAATTCGAGGTGGAATTGCATCATCTCACAAACAGTATTAACAGTTGTAAGGATGCCTCACATGGCACAACCGGAATTTTAGATGAAGTTGAGGATCAATAGGAAGTAAAGATATCTTCATTATGGTGGGCCCAGCGTAAGCATAACTACATAAGTGTTTAACACATTCAAACCTTGCAGAGCATACAGATACACTGCGAATCAATTTTCCTTGTAGATGTTTGTATTTATCATTTGATAATCGTTTCTATGTAGATGTTTGTATTTATCATTTGATAATCGCCATAGAAACGATGACTGCATCATACAAAAATTTCAGCAGACACCCGTGTATAATTTCATCCCGGCTAAGATGTTTTCTAAACATACTTCAACCAACATAATTCATAGATTTGCGACGAACCCCTGTACAAATATTACTGTTGATTACAAATAAGCGTGTAGGACGACACAGGTTCATAGTGATTGATTGTGATTGAGTGATTGAACTTAGTAGCTAGTGGCAGTTCTCCACAACATTGATGACCGTACCTGGAGTTCTGACACCGCCAACGGGAGAAAAGCCGGAGAGTTCGTCAGGTTGGGGAGATTGAGGATCGGATAAAAGATGCTTACGTGTTGATCCCTGACCTCAGTGTCGAAGGAACAGACAGGCGCATGCTTACTAAGGAAGACGTATAACCTTCTCGACCTGGATATTCGGCAGGATGGATGGATAGGATTACAGTCGGGAAGTGCGAAGTCTTAGAAACGCACGCACGCCGTTTATTGTGGTACTATCTGGGGACAGATGCGGACCGCCTTGAAGGACAACATTCTTAACATGTTCTGAAAGGTAAAGATGTAATAAAATGTTCCTGAATCAGCAGCGCAGGAAAGCACCGGTTTCAGAAGTAAGGTTTACAGATTGCTACAACTCATGAATCTGGTCATTCTTAACGATGAGTCAGGACGTTCGGCTCACTTCACAGGGTTGGAGTGGACTATTTCTTCAAGAAAGAAAGTATCTGTGACCGAAATAGATCAAACTAAAACAGAAGTTATGGCGTTTACTTCATTTTATCCAGGTAAAAAGTGATAGCTTCGGGGGAAGGCAACCTGAACAGCAAGACTCTCCTTATTAAAGGATGACAATAAAACTCGGTACAATGTCAGTTTTTTTCTATATATTCATTAGACGACTAGAGGGAGATTATGGATTTATATATCAGCCATTGTATTTGACAGACGTAATGTTCTATAAAAACAAGCATGTATGGACACAAAACCACATTCACACACTCTCTTAAATAGCAAAAAAATGCTTTGTACAATGATGTTTGTTTAAAGCGAGATATTTTTGCATCGGGGCATCGGTCCTCTCGGACCCTCAGATAATCATCGCCTGTTTTAATACGTATGGTTTAGAAATGGAGATGTGGTGGATTTGACACCTAATTTATGAGATGATTGACATGTGGGAAAGTTAGATCGTCTCGTCCGTTTGCCCTGTCAATCACAGGGGCTCAGATCACGCAAACTGTGCCGCCTGCATGGGGCAGCGGCAGGACATGCCGCCGCGGCGCCCGGGATCACGGGCCTGGTCTGAACTAGAACATTATGGAACGGCAAGTTTTTTTTTATGGGGCTGGGCAATATTTAGGTGACTAGGCCTATTGTGAAACGTTACCTAAATACAAGAACATAACGTTATAATACCAGTGAGAGCATCCGCATTATAGTTTGTTGTTTACGTGTTTTAGTTTTTCTATGGTCTCGAGTTAGATGAAGTTGGATTTTATAAACATTGGGTAAATCTGTTTCATTGCGGAGAAAAATGTATTTTTTGTTCGTTTTTAAATTCTAGCGTGAATTTTTTCTCTACATTTCCTACCTTCTATGGAATATAAATTGTATTACCGGTGTGCTATATATATATTCATTTCAAAAGACTATAAAAGCAAAGGCAATCCCTGTTAACTACCGCGCGACTCTACGACTAAATGCACACCGGCATTTTATTTCGAGCACTCCGCGTTCAACGCCGCGGGCGCCGATTATTGTGCGCCTTTCTCTGGGCGTGGACATGGCAACCGGTGACACGACGGCCATAAACAAGCACGGATTGGAACGATAAGTAATAACAAATGAACGGAGAGAGAGACAGTGGAGACGTATGGAGGCACATCACAACGGTGTCCTGTGGGACTTGACGTCAACACGCTTACACAAACAGGCCATGTATAAGATAGAAACATTTGCAGCGCCCATGATTGCCACAGTAATAATTTGTCACAATCGGAGGAGGGTCCTTCCACAAAGACAAAATTAGCGTCGTACGGCAGAGCGTGGCGGGAGAAGATGGAAGGGGCGTAATGGGGGAGGACGACATCAAATTTCTCGGCCAATATGGTGCCACGCGTTCTGTGGAATCTCTATGTCGTTCTATTTACACGCCAACTACACAGTATGTACCGCTTCCCTCGCACGGGCCGCCCTCGGTATCTTCACAATGTCTACCGTGCGGGGATCAATAAACCCTCGTCAAACGCTGTCCACCAGCGCTGCGCCGTATCACAAATAGCTGGAGGCCCATTACGGCGGCCGGCTGCTCTATACGCATCTTTAATGTAGGCAATTTCCAGGGCTGTACTTAGCCCACAGAGATCCTCTTGCCAAACACGGGGCTTTGTTTGATTCATAGACTAACCGTGGCACGTCTGCGCCAGGGCTATACATGGATAGGAGAACATACCGTTAACGTAACTTATATTTTCTGCACTATGTCGCCGCACTACCGGTAAATATAGATAGAGGAAGCCGAATATTTTGCTGACTTACCTGGATCTCCCTGATATGGTAGGCCAGGATCAACCCCAGAAGAATGATGGTGGAGAACGTTATAAGGCATTTCAAAGCCGTAGAGTAGAACGATGTCTGGAAAAAGACAGTGTATGGCACATGTTTGACTATATTTTCAAACAGGCATGGTACTTGTTTACTTCGTAAATACAAATGCAGGGCGACATCGTTTTAATAGGAAACAGTTACGATATTCTACATATTCACTACATGTATCTGCATTCTGTCATTACGGTTTCCACACAAGACATGTTAACAAATCACTTAGGATATTGGTAATTTATTAAATGAACTAAACACATTTAATGAATGTTATCATAACACATGACGAAAAGCTAGATCGGTAAGAGACGATGTGGGGAAATCCTTTTTTTAATGTTTTGACGGGACTAGCGAGAAATTGGCAGAAAATCAAAGGAGGTGAACAATATGACACGCGTCCAGATCCCTTTTAAAGACTCCGCTGGGAAAATAACCATCCTCCCTGTCCTAAAAATCCTCTGTAAAAGGCTGACGTCATGCAATGGTCCTTGGGGAATTTCATGGAATATCCTTGTAAAATGATAACAAAATCTGAAAAAGGCACAAATGTTTACAATTAACGACACCTAGAAGGCTAACTGTGACAGTTGAGCAAACATTCTAAGATCCAGAAAATTTTTTCCTCATTTTTTTTCTTTTTCTCTTTGATCATGTTTCACGTTCTGTGCAGGGAATGCTAAGGTCAGCGAAGAATTCGGCGACACGTCCGCAGGCACTGGCAATGCTGTGTATGGCTTGGGGGCAGACACAAACAACGTCATGTCAACACCGCACCTACATGTCAAAATGACTGCGTCATCTTAGCCCTTTCTCGGAAAGGACTTAGCCGTCTTTATGTGTCATGTTAGGGTTGTGTTTGTGTTGTCTTTTCCCGACCATCAAATATAAACGGAGGCCCGATATGAAAAATTGGCTTGAAAGCGTTTTGCCTTAATTCATAGAGAATATGGGAGGGTTTGTCTATGATGTGAATGACAGGCGGAAAATATGGATATGAGCAAGGACATATGAGGTAAGAAGCTTTGAAGCGATCCCTGCCAGCCCTACTAATGATGTGTTTTTATGCTCAATAATCTGAGATCTTGTCGACTTGGCAGCGCACAGTGATTACGAATATGTGCCGTGCCCTGTAGGCCCCCAATGAAACCTTCGAAAACATACACCTGTTGTTGGAATACTCATGTGGGTGTTTCGATACAGAGGAGACAGTCAGAGAGGGGGTAATATAAGGAATTCACTTGACCTACCTTTAAGTACACCGACCATGACAGCTCCGTTTCTATGACCATCACAATGATGCCGAACATTCCAAATATCAAGGCATAGTCACTTAATCTCTTCCTGTATTCGAACAGTGCCCGCCTGTGTCCAAGCCTGTACCCAACATTGGTTTTCCGTTTGGAGTCGGGCCTGGAGACCACCACCTCGGGCGCGTTCATGACGTGCATGGGCTGGGCTTCCTGCTGAGAGTGTTGCTTCCTTAGCTGTGAGGGAGAACCCAGCGATCGTACACTGCCGTTGACTTTAGTATTATTCAGTGCGGTTATATCCACGAATGGGTTATCCTCCTGCCCGTCCATGCCGTCTGGAACGGCAGCTTCAGTGATCGCCCCGCCTCCTCTGGCTCCTCTTCTTCCCGCTGCTCTTCCGCGGGTTACTCCTTCGTGTGTTTCCGAGGTGCTCGTCTTCGGCCGCCCCTTCCCCCTCAGACTGGTCAGACCTAGTTCTCGCGGGGTGGCGCCATACTTGTTCTGTGTCTCCATTTCATGGTGGTAGAACGTATTGGTGTTGCCAGTAACCCCACGCTCCATTCTTGAGTCTTTATACGAAGCAGTCGCGCAGGCGTCGGAGGCTTCTTGCTCCTGCATACGAATGAGGCTGTCCGTAGAATCGATCCGCGCGCCCTCATTGGCTGGCTGCACCACAACAATAGACATGACGCTATACCCGCGACCCTCGACCAATCACGAGCTTGGAAATTAAGCAGTCATATAAAGGTACTCAAAACGTGGGTTTTACAACATACAGATGTGCCCTTGCGGAAAGGGATTTTCACTCGCTTGATATTTTCAAATGTTAAAGCCGAGGAGATTTACCACTGTAGTTTCTTCTCGCGGTCTTTTTGCCATGGCCAGAATTGATTGAAAGGGCACATGTGTTGATTGTACAGTGAAGGGTTAGCGCTGTATTTTTACCCCGGTTTCTAACCCATGGGGAGGTTCTTCTATTTTTGTCCGGACAAGGAATTCCAGTATGTCATCTTGGCCGGGGATTTTGAAGGCACGGTGCCATCGGTGAATAGTTCTCATTCCTTCCTTGTTGCGATGGCTGTAATGAATTATTTATAAGGAGGGATTTCTGGTAGCGGAGCGGTTGACATGGGTTCATGGCGAAGTGGCGTGGCCTCTAGCTCCCGTGTAGATGAATCCCTTCCGTGGGGCAGTCTCGCTTAAATCTCCAGATAGGGACGGAGGTCCTGTGGAGGAGAAAACAGGCGGATTTAAATCACAACTGGTGGAAAGGGGACGCCATTTTTCACGGGCGGCCGCCATCACAGCAGCGCACGGCGGCAGCGGCCTGTCGCAAGGAGTCGTTTTGTGTTAGCACAGCTGTTAAACTGGGGGGCTGAACTATATATTATATACGGACAAATTGTCGGACAAATTGTTTAGATTATGAGCCTTTTGTGACGTTTATCATGATCATGAACCGCTTTAATTTTGGAATATCAGTCAGCGAGATAAATAAATTTGAAACCATTTCATAAGGACCGTATTTTGAATGTAGAAACGTGTAAAGGATAGAGCATCACAGGCAGTTTGGAGTTATCAGGTACATCAAATAGCTTATCCCTATAAGCTCCATGGGTACATGTACTGAAATGAGGCTTATGAAATTAACTATAAGCGTATAAGTTATCTATCATTTCACAACTAAGGAAATAAAAACAATATATGTCATATATTGGCTATATAACTTAGGAAATAAAGACTTGCATGAAGTATTCCACTCGGTTAAAGGTCACTGACATCTTCTGTAATAAACAGGCACGTGAAAAAAAGTTAATTGAATTGGGAAAAAACAACAAACAAGAAAGAGAAGATTTCAGGCTTCCAGGAAGTGATAAGTGTTTTCGTGAATTTATTTTTTACAAATCAAGGAAATTGTATGGCGAAGTTACTCGGGACTAGGACAGAAACTGCGCAGGGTTGAAGAGTCGCTCATGAAAAACTGTTGTGAACAAGAAACATACCTGTATGATATAGATAACTTTGAAATTCGTAAAGAAATAACTCAATTAGAAATCAGCAGCCATACATTGAATAAGGAAACAGGTAGATATAATGTAGCCCCTGACCAAAGGTTTTGTCCATTTTTTCCAAAACAAATTGAAGATGAGTTTCACTTTGTTATGGAATGTACCTAATTTAATGTTTTACGTAATAAGCTATTTACATTTCTCAGAGACAGACTTGAATATATCTTTACATGCAATAATTCCCACAATGCAAAAACAGGTAAATATATATATATATATAAGACGTTGTTACTAGAAAAAATACAGAAACTCGTCATGATTAGCCCTTCTCGATTTCAACACTACAGACAAATGCAGGCTTGTGCTTAAGTAATTAAGATTTATAATGTCTTATTCTATATTAGGTCTTATTCTATACTTTTTTTTACTTTGTTCATTTGTTGTTGCTATACATTGTACCATGTGCAATTGTCATGCAATAAAGGTATTCTAAAAATAAAGTTAGAATTCCCCCATGCCGACCTCTAACTCCTCCAGGCTCCCGGCCAGATTCTGGAACCTTCATGTTTACCCCATTTCCTGTGTTTGACCTATTGACCTCTGTCATTCTGCCTGTCAATCTTCCCCACCCACGTGCTGTCAACCTGTTCTGTCCGGACAAGCATACACACAAACGCACGAAAAAAGAAAAATTCCATACCAACAAACTGAAATACACTGAAACAGGTGTGTAAAATATCATAATAATAAACAGACAATAAATAGTTTTAGTATATTGTATTTTCCCGCCAAAAACAAAAGCCTAGTTCCACTAAAGGCTGTGGCCACTTAGCAACCGCTGAAAACCCAAGTATATGACAGATGTCTCAAGTCATAAACAAAATGCAATTTTTACGTTTTTGTATTTTGTTATCTAGGAAAACATACATTTTGCATCGTGCATCATAGTCAAATTATTAACATGCAAATCCCATTTTGGTCGCTGAACGATCTATCAGCGATGTCATCATGCAGTGCCAGTTGTGGGAAGATGACGACATTGCTACATGTAACATGTTTGTTGTCGTTTCTTCTGCATCACTGCAAGAACTTGTAGGGCTCACACGCGGCATATTTATGACTATCGACCGAAATCGATGGACGGGGACGATTCAGGATCAACGGTTGTGGAGGTAGTTAGTTTTAGCACAATGCGTGTACTTGCAAACTTGGTACGACAAAAGGTTCATTGGAAAAGTGCTGATCTAAACCTCGAGGAGCATTCTTTGGATTTCATTGTATAACTTAATTGTATGACAATAGATATATGAGATGATTTCGTCATCTGAATTGGTGTACCGTCCCTCACGAGGGACTCGGGTACAACATGTAAAATCACCCTGTGGCACAGATCTGCTAGTGACGTGTTGTGTAGGAAAACAGGCTCCCCTTTCAAACACGGGTCCGTAACTTACTTTGGTATTGGCCAACATGCAAGCTTTCATGTCACACAGGTTCAGCTTTATAAAAATGGATGTTAATTTGTTCTATCGCATAATTTGATTTCGGCGTATTCGTCCGCTGCTTAGATCTAAATCATCCCAATGAGAAGGAAATGAGACGATTCTAGCACCACCTGAGGCTAGTTTCTTAAAGCAGTCAGTCGTGAAGGGGGGGGGGACTTTTCATTTGGACACTTGGTTGAGCACAATGTGGTGGAACGGTGTACCTCTGACGCGTGGCATCGGATTTTCGATGTTTTCTGTCTCGCTGCAGCTAATGCGGTTAGCTGCTGCAGCTCTCCGCCAAGTGATCTGCAGAATTAGGTTAAGAAGCTTCGCAGTAAGCCCGGGAGCCGTTCTGTAATGGTCGTGCTTCTTGCTCAGCCATGAAATGGCGGTCAGACTGAAGTGCTTCAGTTCATTCAGCGCAAATATCATTGGATAAGACAATTTTCAGTTCTCTGCACAGTTTTTGTCTGTAGTAAAGGGAATATATACCTCCTATGTGTACAACATTTTCACTTTTTAATGCTTACTAAAAACTTAAGATTCATTTTGAATAAAATCCACTTAAATGATCTTCGTCTTTGGGAACATGAGGATTGGCCACTACAGGCCACGTGACGTAAGCGAGGTTAAGACCAGAGGGAATGAAACCCCTGGTGCATTGGCCCACTCATACCAATCAAAAACGCCACCAGGCATTAATGAAAAGAGCCTTTTAATATATAGTGCGACATTTACGTCCCCGTTGCGTCCGGAGGCAAAATTATAGACGAAATTTGACTCCCTCCCCACAGATTATTGAGTACGCACTTAGGTGAGTAAATTAGGCCATGGCAGAAATACAGCTCCATGGCAACGATTGCAGAAAGATGATCAGAAATAATGCAGTGCTAATATGTTTGTTAATTACGAACGTTACTGTATCAAACGCAGCTTTGTTTTGTTAGTCTCATGTGGCCCTAACTTAATGAGCATTTCAGCTGTCAATTATAGTTAACATCGTCCTTCATCTATCGTTTTTATCAAAAAATACTCCATGCAGCTAATTATGGACCTGTGATGCCCAACTAATGGACTCCGTAATGTCGTCATCGTCTTTTAGGTCCTTCCAAACGTGACAGAACGTCTCCCTGTTGCATGTTTTAAGGATGTTATTTGTATGCATGGCGCACCATGACAAACTTGTACGTCCGCTTCGCAGGTCGTTCCATACTTTGATGTGTTGGTGCTTGATGGAGTTAATCGTGCCTATCCGCACCCCGGGTACATTATGGTGGTTGATCCGTTGATATACTCCAGTCGGAGAAAGTCCGTCTCCGTGTGCCAAGGCTATCAAACCGTCAGATGTCATCCTTCAAAGTCCAGATCAGTGTCAAGGTGTCGGTCTCCAACAGGAAGCGAGGCACGTCTGGGCAAGAACATTGGCAATTTACTTGATCCCAGGGCCCAACTCTTCTAAACCCTACATTAATAAGGTCTATATTTGACCAACAAAACCTCAAAGAGAACATCACACGTGATTTTGTAAATGATGCCGCCAGAACGGAAGTTTTCTAACGACAACGAAGTGTTCAGTGAAGGGTGTGCATCGATTTTCTAAAGTTTTGAGTGCTGCAGATAAAAGCAGGGACTTTACATAGAGTGCCCTTGTTGTGATCGTAAACATCATCTTTGGTCGTTTTCTACTATATTTTCGCGAACAAGCTGGTACCGGCGTCTTTGAAAAATATGAAGGGTCAGTTTTTTTTTATTTCTCTGACCTGACGATAGTGCAGGCTGAGTGCTGTCGAGGTGTGGGGACTTAGAGGAATACATAAATATCTCAAATCAAGCCACAGCCACTGCAATCCGATTCCTGTGGATTTCTAAACCAAAGTCATGCATACTAATACAACTACCAGTCCGTTTACGGATGCTTAATGTTTGATTCCCTGACAGCCTCTCTTCAGTCTCGAGTCGATAATAGATGAGTCGGAAACAACGATTACCTTCCACAGATGCTATCATAGAAATATGTTCGTCAAAACTATTGCTACTGATGAGTCATGATTTTGACTTAAGCCTCACAAGAGACATATTAAGTCACCGTGAGAGTACACAATTTTGGGATGAAAGTCCTAGTTAAAACTGTAAAGAACGGGGACGAATTATCATTCATAGACAGACTGAATCTGCCACGGCTTATCCACCAGAAGAACACATGCATTATCTTTATTGTTTTAGGAGTGTCGTGACTGGCATGGAATGTTGTGATAAACCCAAAAGGATGTTGGGATTCGAACGTGCGAGGACAAGTCACCTTTCAGTCTGAGTAATAATATAACGACAGTATGCACGTCGTATCTCCGCTGTATGTTAGCACATCTAAACACGCACCAAGGACATGTTGCCAGTCGTTGCCAGATTGCAATCAAATCGCTAACAAGTCTCCTGACGCCACCCAAATGACGATATAACATTTTCGCAAGATTGCTTTCTCGATTTCGGCAGGTATCATGATGACTGACTGCTAGTTGCATGAGATGGCTGGCTTATTGACCAACTCGCCGCGGCTGCAGATGAGCTCAACCTCGCCACTTTTCCCACCATCGCCCATGATCTCTGTAAAGTGGTTGTATTTCCAACCCACGTGACGACACATTAGGCCCCACAAATCGTGCGGACGGCTGCTTTGATGGATATGCCTTTTAGCCAGCACATTGAAAGTCATGACAACATAAAGCTATTTCC